GAGAGAGAGAGAGAGAGAGAGAGAGAGAGAGAGAGAGAGTGTGTGTGTGTGTGTGTGTGTGTGTGTGTCCACGAAAAAGCGACATGACCCCTTTCGGTCCCCTTCAAACGGGTTACAAAACCAGCTAATTATTGCGACATTACGCATAAATCAAGATCGGCCAGCTAGACAATCGAGAACGCAATCGATGAAACTACAGTCCCCGAAAGAGAGGGAGAGAGAGAGAGAGAGAGAAAGAGAGAGAGAGAGAGAGAGAGAGAGAGAGAGAGAGAAGCCGCGTGTATCGTATTTCCGGGATCGGGCTGAGGTGACAAACGCAAGGCGTTCCGACGCTGAAATCCGTACACTCGCTGAACGTGCCATAAGAGGTGTGGTATCCTGCTGGATCGGTGACGCCTACAGGAATTTGGTTGTACGCGTCCACGATGGTGCAGTCGATCGCGAGTTAGGCGGCCGTCCTCCGGTAGCCGTAGTTCTGGTGCGACTGGTAAATAAATCCGCTCCGATATTCGCGCTGCCTCGCGCGATTTTACGACAAAATGACGGACGTCGACAGCCGAAGCTTATCGCGCGCATCATCGCTCCCGCCGGGATTCTAGGTTGCCCCGTGCACCTCGCGCCCGTCGGTTACGTTGTTACGCTTATCGCAGATCGGCAACCGGTTACCAGGCATATTTTTTCTGACTGGGGGGAGTCCCAACCCCATCGCCCCCCGCTCACCTCGCCCCCCCCCCTCCATTTCCCTCTATCTATCTATCACTCTCTATCTTGCATTGCATTTCCACGCTTCTCGCTCCTCGGCCTCGTCAGGCTCTCTCGCTAGCTCGCTCGCACACCCATTGTCGGGCGTGTGCGGGCGGCCGTGCGCCCATCTTCGTTACGCGTGTCCCCTTGAAAATTAGCGGAATTGGTGGGTTTAATCAGGGCCAGGGTTCGAATAAATAGGTACTCCGTAAATCATAATCATCGCGGCGCAAATAAATAAATATCGCGAATAATGGGTGGCGATTTAAACTGAAAATCCCCGGCTACTTGATTAAGATATGAATAAATCTAGATTCTGTGGCGAAATTAATGTTTGTTTGCTAGTCGCTTCCAAATAATACGAGCTGATAAATAAAAGAGCGCCAATTACAAAAGGGCGCGGCCCCCGTTTCATTCACCAAGACCAATTACCTTTTAACCAAAGCATACCTGCATATGTCTCAGTAGTTATCAACCGAAAACTTGTTTACTGACCGAGACGCCCGCTCTAACGTCTTGATTAAAAAAATTGTTTCAGTTAATAATAGGGGCGTTACCCTATCCATGACTATAGCATTTTTTAGGACCAGCGGCACATTTTTGTCGAGAGCAGCTGTATCCGATCGGCCGACAGAGATATCTCACTTTAAGCTTTCGTAATAGCCTTATTCTCGGGGCCATCCCGCCCTTCGACTCTCCCCTCCCACCACCATACCATCGCCTCTTCCGACACCGTTCTACTCGGCCGAAACTCTCAGCCAGAGGGTTAACCCTTTTTCTCCTGCCCCGTGCTGCGCCCGCGAAATCTCGCGTCTTCGCGCGTCCCTCTCCCCCTCCCGAGCCCAATTTCAAAACATTCGATCTAGGCTCTCGTAATTCTGAAAGGGGTGCGATCTCGCAACGGCTCCTGCGAGTGACAGCGTTTGCTCGAGCGGTGGCTGCGCGCAAAAAAATGGCGCCGTCGGAGCCGGGGGATGGGGAGAATGAGAAGATAAAGGAAGAAAGGACAGGTTTGGCCGGGCGGGTGAGTATCGATTTCTCTTGAGGCGGCGTTGACGAAGCGCGTATCCACGTCGACGTGCACAGGGGCTCTAGGGCACGCGCTCACCCGGTGTAATTGCCAACGGATTTATGCTTCGGCGCGCAGGATATAATTGGCCGGTCTATTAATATTCCTCGGCGATGAGGGAGTAAAAAGTGCCACGTCAACGGAGTTCCGGAACTACCGGACAGAAGAGGTCCGTGAAGATAGAGCGCGGCGAGAGGTGGAGAAGCGGCCGTGGAAGGTGTGTGAGAGGAAAATGCGCACGTGTACGTATGTATTATATTATCTTCGCTCGCTCGTTCCCCCTCCTTCTCTCCTTCTATCTATCTATCTATCTATCTTTATGCAGCTCTCTCGCAAAAGGCGCAACGAATAATCGCCCCAAGCTCAGACTCTCTTAAAGGACGAGTGGCTAATTTTCAAAACTGAATCCATCTCTCTCTCTTTCTCTCTTCTCTCACCCCTTCTCTCTCTCTCTCTCTCTCTCTCTCTCGCTATATATATATATATATATATTACTCTCGCACTTGCAGCTCCGGCCTTTTTCATTATTATATATAACTCTGGGCGAGAATCAGCTCCATCCTCTTGTATTTCTTTTTCACCGCGGGTAGTTTTACGTGTCGGAAGAGACGTTTTTCGAACGTCAGTTGGTACAGCTGATTATTATACTTTCGAAATTACGTGCTGCGTTTATGTGTTTATCGTGCTGTTTAGCAGTTAAGGAATGCTTCTTTCGAGAACGAGTTTTTGAACATTTTTAAAATGGGAAATGCTGTTGCTCGAACGAATTCATTAACCTACTGTGTACACATACTTTTCGTTAAAAAAATATATAATGGCTTCTTACGTATCTTTTGTTTTTGTTGGACGCAAATTTTCGTCCAAGTTTTTACAAGTAAGCCAAGTAAGAAATATGCCTTTAAGCTTGAAAAGTACTTGTATTTTTATTCTCGCACGGAAATTATTTTAACTTCAGTTCCGACTTGCCACAATTCTTTTTTACATCATCCGCGCGACTGTGTATTAAAAAAAAAAAGTTTTCTAACTATACTATAAAAAATACATCCATCCATTTCCGAGCAATGAAATACAAATGCGAATTTACAGTTAATGCACGAAGCTTCACTCAACCGCTTTCTTTTCTGATGTATCATTAAAATACGTACATTCGATAGTATTCCATATCATTAAATACTAAGTGTGTGCGTATTTTATTAAGAAAATTAGTCAGAACTTAGATAGGAAGTGAATAAATTGTGCGATCATTATGAAAATGATCAAATGTACGTAAATTATTATACAGAAGACGTGTGTATTTTGGATGTATTTGTGCGTGTGTAATGAAACGTTAACAAATCCAATATATTTCTTATATTTTTATATTACGAAATATCATGAAATTGGTAAATAAACATATTATGTAAATACGGAAAATAAACACAAGATGAAGAAATATAAAAATCAAACAAATATCAATTTTCTAACAGAATACATGTTACATGGGTTATTAAAGATCAAACGATATATTCATCAAATAATATTTAACGAAAGATTTTATGCCTCAAAGACGAGTCCCGTATCAACAAATTTTACACGTTTTA